CATGACTCCAGTCCATCAGTTAATGTCTTGTGAAGTAAAAAGCTGTATGTTTGTAAGAAACAAATGTAGCATGAGGACGTTCTTAACTTCAAACCGTTGCTTCCGGCTGAAGTTCCAGTGAAAAGGTCTTGTCTAAATTATGAGAGAAATATGCACATATCAAGCACTTAACAAGGCAAAATAGCTCTAAACAAATACGTCAGTGGATTTTGATGAGAGGACAACAGAGGATGGACTTTTTCACTGGATTAAGTGTCATGGATTATGGACTTGTATTGGCCAGAAGCAATGATTTTAAATTAAAACACCTTAATGACAGATTATTTACTTACACACTCACATACACTGCTTTGCACTAAACAAGCTGTTCATTGATGGACTGGAGTCGTGTGGATTACTTGTGGATCATTGTGCTGTTTTTATCAGCTGTTTGGACTCTCATTCTGATGGCACCCATTCACTGCAGAGGATCCATTGGTGAGCAAGTGATGCTAAATTTCTTCAAATCTATTACAATTAAGAAATAAACTAATCTACATCTTGGGTGGCCTGTGGGTGAGTACATTTCAGCATTTCTCTTTTTTTTTTTTTTTTTGGATGAACCTACTTAATGGAATAGTTAATTTCACACGATACTCAGATTGTTGTTGTCACTATCCAATCAAGTTTTCTCTCCTAAACTAAAATGTAATAATGGAGGCAGCATAGTTTGCCCTGAGTGCATTAGTACTGTCAAGATCTCTAACCATTTTGTTTCATGTCTCCTGGCCTGTGATCCAAAGGTTTTGGTAAACCCCCCCCCTCCTCATCCTGGACCCATCTGCTCTACCAGCTCTTTTCTGCACATCAGTCAAAGCCTTTCACAGCTGCTGTCCATGATATTCTGTATATATTTCTATTCTCTAATAGAACTACAACACCTGTTTCACCCTGAGGATGAGCTCATCTTAATGCTGTATTTATACCTCATGCATTCTTTTTGTGGAAAGACACATCCTTTTTTGCTGATCTTTAAGCAAATATTCCTTTCTCTAAAAACAGTGCTTTCTGTGTTTATTCTGGTTAAAACTCCTGGCTTAAATCCTTTCAGGCAACCCACAGATTTTTCTCCAAAAATGTGTATGTATATTATAAAGAGAATTTGATCAGGCCACATGACATTCCTCAGTGTATTTTTGATTTAAAGTTTAAGTCTTAGATTTAAAGTAACATGCTTCCCCTAGTGAAAAATAAATATAATTAAATGTATTTGAAATGCATTTATTTCATGCCAAGTATACTACAAACACATTTACATATTTATAAACGTTATAATACCCTGCAGTTGCACCTTTAGTATAATAAAGTCTGCTAAATTGGAACAACTAATTTTGTACTAACGCACTGTGTGGAAGTAGTCCTGAAGTCTAACTGAAGATATACTTAGGTAGGCCTATATTTGATTGTGCTCAAGTAGAACTATTGCTTTAGGTACACTATATCGCGGATTTAAAGAACTATATTATTCAAAGATCATACAATCCGCATCAATAGTGACAATAAAACACATTTTCGGCTTAATATGATGAAATGTGTGTTGTGCACAAGTACTAGTCCGAATAAAGTTTAATTACAATGTTTATATCAGCAAGCCTTAAGTGATGTGTCTGTAAATATGTTAATAGATTTGAACTATACTTAGTATGAAATAAATACATTTTACTAGGGTCAAGAAAAGCGATATCGTCTAAAAACAAATGAACGAGGTCCCAACACAAACCCAGAGAACAGTTTTGATCAAGATGACACCAACTGACCAGATGTAGCACTTCAGAAGCTAAAACTAGGATTGCCTCTCGACAACGTCTTCCTATACGTTCCATATTTCATTTGTATCTATTTGACTTTGGATATGTTAAAGCAAGGCGTTTTGCAACCATTTTTAAATGTGTTTTCGTTTGTTTAGTGTCCGTGTATAAGTAAAGCTTCGGGGAATGTACATATTCAATCACTGTGAAAAACTGAATTCCATTATGACCAAATGTGTCACATTTGCTCTTATGTTTCTATATGCCATCTCTTAGAATGAGTTCTGTTCTTTTCTGGCACTTTCTATTCTGGTTATTTTCAGGACTGTGTGTAAAGAAAAGGGCACTCGTTGATTTTTAAATCATTTCTACCCATGAATAAACCCTCTCTGTCTCCTTCAATGTATTTTCTCATCTTGTTCTATGAGACCATACATTAAATAGTTAATGGAATTATATAGTTTGGAATAATATATGTCCACACGTCAACGATTTGCTATTTTATTAGTCTATGTAATTCATCAATCCCTGACAAAGAAGGCTGTTTTCTTGAATGTAGCCACGAGGTGGCAGCGCTGCAGGAACTGTTTGTCATTTCATGCAAAGAAACTTGCAAGTTAACCTTAGTGGGGGTTAATACACAATAAACGTGCCGTTTTTATATATTATATTATATGCCTACTGGTCAAAATTGTGGAATAATTCAGATGTTTTTGGAAGACGTTTCTATGCTCTGCAAGGGTCCCTATATTGATCAAAAAATACAGTAAAATAGTAATCTAATACTGTGAAAAATTATTACAATTTGAAATCATTTTCTGTGATGACAATGCTGTATTTTCAGCATCATTAGGCTACTCCAATGTCTGTTAAATATTTCTGTGGAAACGGTTAGCTATACATTTTTTCAGGATACTTTCATGAATAGACAGGTCACGAACAGCATTTATTTCCACAACTTTATTTCCGACTGATTTTCCTAAGAAATTCTTGAGCGGCAAATCATCTTATTGGAATGATTTCTGAAGGATCATGTGACACTGAAGACTAATGGCTTTGTCATCACAGGAATCAATTACATTTTAAAATATATTAAAATAGAAAACATTTTAAACTGTAAAAACTTTTCACAATATTACTGTTTTTCTTTAATTTTTTTTTTTAAAAATCAGCCTTTGTGAGCATAAGATTTTCCCCCAACTAAAACATCTTCATTAATCCAAACTTCTGACTGGTGGTGTAAATTGTATATTTGTGTGCTAATGAACTACAAAATCACAAATCTGGGTGTGCCCAGTTTATTTTAAGACCATTTTATTCAATACAACTGTGTTTTCAGGCCCCTTGCTCTTGTGTGAATTGCTCTGGATTAAACATGGGGGAGGGAAAGCGTTGGCGGGCAGGTCAAGTCTACCTGAATGAGCCTGTCGTGTAAACTGTGTAAGCGCTGCTTGAATATGGATAAACTGACACCATTACTTCTTACAACCAAGAAGAGGACTGTTATACTAATATACTAATAGTCGAGTCTAATCGGCAGTGTGCGAGTCACATGGACAAACCAGCTCAAAAGTGATTTTATTTTCACTGTATACATTTGATTATTTTCATGTGTTTCCACAACTGCTTTATTTAAAGTTGTTTTGTTCACAAGATGTAAAAAGAGGGCTTGCCCTTATCACCCATTCTCACAAACATTACAGAGAAGAATAGGGATAAATATTCATTAAGTAACACTTGCCATTCACTTTAAAAGACTTCATCTGACTAGCGGCAGTTAGACTGTAAATGAGTTTGTGCATAACGCATGATTGCAACATCACTCCGTGAAGTGGAAGCTAAATGGGATATTTTTGATGCCTACACAAACTGACACAACATATTATCCACCGATGTCAAAGACCACAAGGCTTTCTTTGATGCACAGACTTTAACCCTATGAAAACATGCTAAAAGAAGCAGCCAAATGGACAGACGTGAGATTACATGTGCTTTGTTAAGTCTGAAACTGCAGTGCATGGATGAGATCACAGAATGCAAGGCTGTGACCTGGTTTCCACTGTTTTATGATGTTTCAATCAACTTGACGGGATGGAAAAAGATTAAACAAGAATTGAGGATATGCACCAGACTTTTTGTCTGGACAGGAACCAACAAAACTGTACACCTAAAAAATGAAGTTTCTTTATTGCCGTTGATGGTACCATGAAAAACCTTTATGATATTTGATTGTTATAGTGGAGGAAGGTTCTTTAGATTAATAAAATGTTCATTACACTAAGAAAAAAATGGTTATTTTAGCAACTGTTTACCTAAACATTATTTGAAAAACCTCAAATTAAAAATAAAGGTTCCAAAAAGTTTTTTTTGCAGTGATGCCTTATTAGAACCATTTTTGGTTCCTTAAAGAACCTTTCAGTAAACAGTTCTTAAAGGGGTCATATAATGCAATTTCAAGTTGTCCTTTCTCTTTGGAGTGTTACAAGCTGTTCGTGAATAGATAAGATCCATAAAATTGCAAAGACTAAAGTCTCAAACCCAAAAGAGATATTCTTTATAAAAGTTAAGACTCGTCCACGCCCATATCTATGTCACTGTGTGGGAAGATTTGCATAGCACCGCCCAAATGTTCACGCAAAGAAAGAAGGTGTAACTTTGATTCTCACTGTAGTATTGTTACCGCCACCATGTCGTGGAGACGCTGTGTGTTTCATTCTGAAAGCAAAACTACTTTGTTTGGCCTTCCAAAAGAGGACACGACTAGAAATCAGTGGTTAAGTTGTATTTACAACACTGTTCCAGAACAGTTCAACCCAAATATTCAGATGTGTGCAGCACATTTTATTGAGGACGAGGACTGTTTCCCATGGGAGAGTAGCCTACAATGCCGATGTTCAGGTGAATTCAGTTCCCCTGTTTCCCCTTTGGCGCGCGTGCTGACCACAGTCTATGATACTGACAAATAACGCTGACTCGCAGCCTGTAAGTACGTTTTCATATATAAAGGATTTGCCACTGATGATTCAAACGTGAGTTTTGAGCAGTGTAGAGTAGCGCTGGTAGTTTGTCGTTTCTCAGATCACAAATGCAGACATGGTTTTATGTTTACGCGGCACGATGCAACACAGTGGGGACATAATTACTGATTATTAATTCATTATAATCAGTAATTATGTCCCCACTGGATGCAACAATTAAATGCCTCGTTTATAATGGGTTTTAATGTTTTTGTCTCATCGCTCCGGGACACAGCATCACAGTATGGTAAGACGCGTAACATTTCCGTCACACACTTGAGGAATTCGACCAATCACAACGCACTGGATAGCTGGCCAATCACAGCACACCTCGCTTTTCAGACCGATGAGCTTTGTAAAAATCAAAGCGTTTCAGAAAGGCGGGGCATAGAGGAGAAACAATAATGTACAGTATGTGGAAAATAATGTTTTTTTTTTACCTTAAACTGCATAAACACATTTCATTACACCAAATACACCAAATAATGTTCTTTTTTTAGCAACGTCATATGACCCCTTTAAAAGAACCATTGATTTGCTAGTGTGAAGAGAAGAACATTTTATCTAAACTTTTTTCAAATATAAAGAACCTTTTGTTGAATGGAAAAGTTACATGGATTTTAAAACGTCTTCGTGGAACCATCAATGCCAATAAAGAACCTTTATTTTTAAGAGTGTTCTATGGCATTGCTGCAAAAACCACCTTTTGGAACCTATTTTTAAGAGAGTATGTATTAAAACCTACCAATGTTTATTATGTTACATTGAATACTAAGTAGATTTAAATCTTTCCTTAGATGGCTTACGCTCGTCCAAGTTCATTTCTTGGAAAAGTTTCAGATTAAGTCTATGTTTCTGCAGATAATGGGCCCCCTGCTTGGGAGAGCGATCTGAACTTTACCAAGGCCGATGGGAGATTTATTTTATAACACCAGCAGATCCTCCCTCACACTACACCTCAGAAAGAACCGGTGGGTATAAATCCCAAGTTAAAGTTTATTTTATTTCACAGTAAAGCTGAAGCGGATACCATACTAAACCTGCTGGAATAATTAAGGTATCAACAGTATATAAGACACTGTGACTTCTGACACAGTCTAACTGATAAGAATAAGAATAATTCTTCACATGGGATCACCTGATGCCTCTTTATGACCAGACCTTCTGATTTACTCCATAAGTAAATATATATAATTCTGAAAATAGACAGTTATATACATATAGTGCATACAAGGTTGGTTTCTAATACGCTTTCAATTTTGAACATTAACAAGGTTACGGTCATGTACTTAAGTATATTTTTGGTAGTTTACACAGTCTATAAATACCATATTCACCATTAAAATCAGATTAGATTCAACTTTATCGTCATTGTGCAGTGAACACAGAGCCACTGACTATGCACAATGGCAAGTGTATTCTAATCTTAGCTGATTTTATAGTTGTTTCAAAGCTGTGGATAAATTTAATTGGCCATTTCAGGTGACAAGTTTTAGGGTGTGTTCTAGAGCAGAAGGCTGCAAGTAGTAAACTAACTAACTAAATAAATGTAATAAAATAAAAAAATTATTAAAGTAAATAATACAAATAAAAACGATTTATGTAAATAAATAATAGGCTACATCTAACAGTACAGCGTTAGTGAGCAGAAAAAAACAATGTAATAGGGGAAAAAAACGAATATTTTACTCATTATAACATTATATTTTTCACAGTATTTGAACCTTTAAACATGAAAATATATAGCTATCTTTAACATTTTAGGATAGAGTTCCTCCCACCTACTTTTCGTCAATTATTAGGCCTACTTGTAGACTACGTTTTGGCTAGATACTTAATTTTAATATCCATGCTTAAACTTAAAAGCACAACATCTCTGCACTTTTTACACCTCTGGTTGTTTTTTATTTACCAGTTGGATTTGATGAGATGGTTTTGAGTAGATTGGTCACCTTTCACGTTGAAACGTCTTTCTGTTGAATGGAAACGCCATAGAACACCACTTTTTATTCAGAGCAATTGAATTTTTTGGCTTTGCCAGTTATTTTCAAAATGCTATCAAAACCTTATACAAAGGATGTACAAGTTCTGTAAAATTAGCAAGGGGGACTTCTGGAAGATTTAATATAGGCAGGGGAATAAGGCAAATCTCCCCTTTTTTGTTTTTGTTAGTAACGCAAATAATGGCCCTTCACATTAAAAAAGGTGTTTTTCAAGGAATTGCTGCTTTAGGGAGAACATTTAAGTTATGTCAGTTTGCCGATGACCAGGGGCGGTTCTGGGGGGGGGGCAGTGCCCCCCTGCCAACAAGTTTGCCAATCAATTTGGAGTCATATCACACAGTCGTGGCCTAATGGTTAGAGAGTCAGACTCGTAACCCAAAGG